ATCACAATATTGATCTTTATTATCGATCAGATCGTCTTGACCGGGCGCCGCCATTTTGTTTGAAACAAATGCAAGTGATGGAATCGGATTGGTCCATAGGAGAGGCTTAGAAGGGACATAACTCATAATAACCACTGGTGGCGCTACGATCGAGCCCAGGAATTCCAGCCTAGTTCGGCAAGGGTGGAAACTGGACTTTCATAGCCAGTGAACTCTCTTGCCTCGGGAAGATGTTTACACAGTAGACCAGCTATATTGCACCAGTCTGTACATAAGGATGTAACGATTCGCCAAACGTTCGATACATCGCGATACTGATACACGGAGTCGAACATCATCTCGGAAGCTATTCATCCATACGGATCGATATCGAGGTGACATAGAAAGGAGTGAGTACAGTTTAACGCCGTTTTCAGCAATATTCCAGCAATATCACGACGGAGGAGACCAGAAATGGGTTTCACGCATTGTACCCATGTGAGGATCGAACCCGGATCTTCGGGGTGACGAGCGAACGCTTTAACCACTAGGCTACCCCACCGCCCCGACATATTATGGAGTAGATTGTAAATTACAATAATATCTTCTCTGTGTGTGTACAAGAGCTCTTAATTCACTTTTGAAAATGAACACAAATAAAGTGAATAGTTTTTAGTCAACCTACTATTTATTTCCGTTTGTGGTGGAAATGTGTTTTTCAGTATCGAGATTATCGTTTATCGTATAACGACTTTAATATCGAGATTTATCGCAACAAAATGTATCGTTACAAACAGGTTTTGGAGAGGTAAACCAGTATCTGATAGCATAAGCATTTATACACGGCGACTCGGCAAGGGAATACATTGTAAAACGGAGTTTGGTTCATTGTTGCTTTGAACAATTTCAATCATGTCGCGTTCGTGTGGGAAGAGTGAGTGAGTGAGTATGGTTTTACGCCGCTTTTAGCAATATTCCAGCGATATCACGGCGGGGGACACCAGAAATGGGCTTCACACATTGTACCCATGTCGGGAATCGAACCCGGGTCTTCGGCGTGACGAGTCATGCTTTAACCACAAGGCTACCCGACCGCCCCCGTAGTTATATAAAAGAACCGGGTGTTCCTTAACTTCTTTTGAGTGGTTTCTATCCACCCGATATCGCACGGCTCCACCAGGCTATCAACAGGGCGGTCAAGGAGTCCAGTGGCTGAACCGTTTGATCGTCACGCCGAAGACCTGGGTTCGATTCCCAAATGGGTACGCTGTGAGAACCCACTGAAAGTGTTCCCGGTCGTATAATGGCTTGAGATTGTTAAAAGTGTCAATTAACTTCAACCCAAAATGACACTACATTCACGAAACAACATTTCGTTGGAAAATATTCTTTTCCGATACATAATACAGTACTTAACATGCATGATTTAATCAAATCGAAAATCGTTTCAGTAAATAATATATTTTGCACCACCCCTAATATTCGCTTCAATGGTATATATCAAAGACTGTCGAGGGGGGTTCGTCTCAAGACGACAGTCCCTTCTGAAGACTCCGCTTCATTCCGAGCACGGAGAGTGCAAGAATGTCAAACAGTCGGGTGATGGAGCTAAATACCACGCTATTCGTCCCCCACTCTCGCGGCGTGAAACGTACACACTCCCGACTCACCAGCCTCGTCACCCGACTGTTGCAGTCTCAAAAGTAAGGATTGAGTAGAAAACGAAACGCGACATTGAATAACGCATTGTGACGACAGTGTTCTGTGGTTAGATACATGGCGTGGAAATATTCATCGACTTGAACACATGCATATATTTGTACCAGTTTCGAAGTTGGTCAAAGAGACAATTATTTTACATCCTGGGGTGTTTTTTTCCCCGTTATGCGATGCGAAGTTAAATATATAACCTGGACCCACTTGCACAAAGCGATCTTAGCGCTAAGACCATCGTAACCCTTTGTTAAAGTATGGGAGTTACGATCATCTTAGCGCTAAGATCGCTTTGTGCAAGTGGGCTCTGGTTCCATCAAACGGTCCCCCAAAGTCCGCGAGATTGTTACAATACATTTATAACATTTATTACACTACGTTTATAACGAACACGCTTATAACGAACTGAACGATATATTTTTCAGTCCCGGCCATTTGCTGTATATAAAATGTATATATGCTTATAACGAACTACGTCTATTACGAACTAAAATGAGTGGTCCCCTCGAGTTCGTTATAACCGTAGTTTACTGTATTCACACATTACGGGCTGGGTGTCGTACAAAGCGATCTTGGCGTTAAGGTTGTGTTGTACAACGGCATCGTGATCTCGGTCGATGTAAATGTTGTGATCACACATAAAATATATTAATGTAGGTTTGTCAATAAGCGTAGACATATTTAAGGGTACGGAATGCCAATGTCAAAAAACAGTTCACAGGTAATTTAGACCACCTTTTTACAGATCACAGGTAATTTTTCCACCCATTTCACAATCACGGATAATTATCGTGTAAATTAGTTTATATTTCATAGAGATTCATTCTTGCTTATCAATCTGATAGTGATTTTAACCATTTCATTGTCAAGTTAATGCTTTTGCATGTATAGACTAGGACGGCATCTCATGTGTTTGAAACATGAACTTGGTGACAACTTGTCAGACGGACCATTTCGGGCGTTGCTTGATATTGTCATGTAACTGTCCCCCAAATCTACTACTTAGTTTTCACGGTTTCGATATAAAACAAACGGGGTAACGAATAATAACGATTCACGAGAAACAAATGACATTTCACAGAAAACGTGTAAATTATTTGCAAATTCACTAAAACAGGACTCCGTTTAACGCCGCACTCAGCAACATTCCACCTATATGACGGCGGTCTGTAAATAATCGAGCCTGGACCAGACAATCCAGTGATTGACAACATGAGCATCGATCACGCAATTGGGATCGATGACATGCATCAAACCAAGTCAGTGAGCCTGACCACCCGATCCCGTTTGTCGCCTCTTACGACAAACAGTCGCATTTTACGTCAAGCAAGGGTTGCTGAAGACCTATTCTAACCCGGATCTTCACGGGCCGCGAAATGACGTATCACTCCTAACGTGAAATATCGAATCACGGCAAATTAAAAAGAACCAACAACGTATAACGAAATAGGCATTCCCTATCCGCATTGTGTTTCCCAGGTGGCATCTCTATCATATGTCATTGTTTTTTAGCACAAAGAATGACCCTAGTGTTTAGCTGTTAATCCAGTACCATTAATTGTACGGACTGTGGTGGTGGGGTGTGGGCTGTTGGATGTTTTGGGTGGTAGGGGGTAGGGGATGGAATGTCACATAAGGATGGGGTTAACGTCGCGTTCAAAATTATTGCATTCATATAGAGACGTGCGTGCATGTATGTGGCTGCTTGTACTAGTCCGGACTTATGTCGGTTTTATAGTGCTAGCCCGCTGAGATACCATGCCGCAGTTTAACATGGAGACCCTACTCAGACACAGTATACTGACTCCGAGCCGACCAGTCCTTGTTTTAGCCCCTTGATCCTGAGCTCTAGGCAAGGTAACAACAAGTACCATCTTTTAACTTCTGTTGGTATGACGCGACCGGGGATCAAACCGCCGCCTGATAAAACCACCGACCTTCCGCTCTCCGGGCAGACGCTTTATCCACTAGACCACGGAGGCGGTCGTACAATCAAAGAAGCACGCATAAACAAAGATTTGACCTCAGTATGTATCCGACACAGTCAGTGCAACAGAAATGACATAATTCATAGTTTATCGGGGCCTTAGCAACAGGGAATGATGGATAACGAACATATTATAATGCGTTACAAACCATCCATATTATACACTGAATGATTGCGGTCGTAAAACACAGCCTTGTCGTAACCCCGTCAAAACTGTCAACATCGCGCTTTGGGAGGACATTGAGCGATTAGACTTAAAAGCCGACGTGCTACAGCTGCTGAGGTGCATACCCGTATATTATACAGGTACCTCATGGAGAAATGTTTAGCATGCTATTTCACCACTAAGCTATAGACAAGTAATCGCTACAGGTCTCCCTAATATCAAGCCTTTATGGTGTAATGACAGAGGAATAGTTATTGTCGAAACCGTCTCTACTTAAAACTCGCTAGTTTAATACACTTTTGAATCCGCTCCGTCGCGCGTAGGATGGAAGACGTTAAGTGTGAGTTATTCTACAGAAAGGATCCCTTTATTCCTTCTTCCCGAGCCTATAGCGAACGTTAGTTAATGTATTATTATATACTTCTAGACCAAGTCAGGGCCTCATAAACTGGGGGCCCCGTGTAGTTCTCAGTCTTGGAGAAAATGACTCAAAAGAATTCTAATGTGATCCACCCGTTTCTGTTGGGTACGTCCGGATCCCGGGTATGCATCAGAATGTAACGCGTGGCTGGGTTTAAAATCACATCATCATCGCCCGTCGCTAAACCTTAGAAGTATTTTTAAAAACTTGTTTACCTTCATGAACAGTTTTACCTGTGGTGTGTTTCTCATACGTGCTTATCTTAATGTGTGGTTCGTGTGCTCGCTACCCGGGGTATTAAACCACCTACAGTGTCTTTGGTGTTGTAATAATATTAATTATGATGATGGTTATGAGGAAAGAGTTCCGCCCGTACCTCCCCCCCCCCCCCCCCCCCTTTCCAAAGTTATATATGTTTGCTTTGCGGCTCAATCCTTTTTATTGCATATATTTTTTAAAGAGGGCACGAACGGATGTCTTACCGATTATGATAAGAAAGATGGTGGTGATAATTATGATGGGAATTGTGAAAACACCGATGACGACGACGACGATAACGACGATGACGACGACGATCGGGTTTAAAAAACCCGTCGCATCGGCATTGTTTCGGACATGATCCTTGTGACGTCACCAAGTCATGGAATTTAATGATATATTAAATTAAATTAAAAAACACGGGCTATGATGATGTTAATAATAATCACAATAATCATAATAATAATAGCACTTACTGGCAAACATTCGCACTTGACACACACCATCGTTCCATGGGGAAGTAACGCTGGGCTCCATCGCTGTTCCAAGTGGTAAAATGTCCCCCCAAGCCAACAGCCTACATTAAGAAAAGCTTTTATGAGACAAGAATAGGCATATTCAGCAGATCAGATTCTGGCTCCGAGACGCGCATAAACAGCACGTAGCAAAGGTACTCCAGTCAAACACTCGACGACATGTCAGTACTACAATAGCTAGCTATTCACAAAATGTAAAACACGAAATCAAATTATTTCCTATAAAACACATTAGTATAAGGAATGCGGCGATATCGTCCCATCTGCATCCCCGTATTCATCTAACACATTAAAAAAGTTTATTAACAAACCTAAATATAGGATAAGGGTACGCTGGAACACAGACGGGGTCAGTTTGTGTAAAGCGCGAGTTAAATCTAAACGCGGGCGAGGCCAGGCTTGGAATTCACATGTTCAATACGGCTGTCGATTTGTTCGATGAATGAATGGAAAGTTCAGTAATAGGGTAGAGATTTAACATTTGAAAGCAGGTCCGTATGGGGCGGTGATACGAAGAACCAGCACTATAGAAAAACTTGTATGAGCTAGACATATTATGACTGCAGCCATTGACGGCTCCACTATCACAAATATCAACAGACGCTCTGCTATTTCACAGTCGAGGCGTTTAGAATGTTGACTGTATATCGCAACTGTAATAACGCTACCCAAATCTCCTCAGAGTCGCAGCACGGAGATAAGACTTAAAACCTGAACAGATACTTTGTGATTCTCTATCTACGTTCAACTGTTGCTCGTTCACCGCGACAATTATCTGTGGTAGCGGTTGAAAAAATATTTTCATAGAAGCATTGGCAGTTGTAGGTAAACAAGCTTAATGAAACAGATAGCAAGAAAGCCGGGAGTTGAAATTGACATCCTTATACAACACAACCCTGATAACCAGGGACGGTGCATCCACATTACTTATAAATCTTTTAAACAAACAATATATCAAATTACGTGTTTACTCAATTTGATATTTATGGCAACAAAAGTAAATATTTAGGACGTCATGCCGTCCGATTTGGACAAAATGACTCCGTGCAATATGTGATAGAAAATTCTTACCCGGCGTTCGGCTTTGCTTGTGTTCTACCTTATCCTCAATTAAAGGGAACTTTTTCGGTTTTCGACAATCAAATCCAGGTATGGTCACAAATAATAAAACTATAAACATCCCGAATTGGGAACCTAGCCTTCGTGTATCCATTTCTCCCGTGAATGAAGCGAATCCTCTTGTATATCCGAGTGTGGTCGATGCTCTGTGTAGGACTAACAGGCGAGTCGCTAGGAACCTCTTACCGCCGACATTCGGCTTGGATTGGAATTGTGACAATCACTGGACGATCTTAAACACAGACCAAATAAGCTTAAAATCACAATTACAAAAAATCTCATTAAGCTTATGCCATGTGCTTGGGGTCGGAGAACACATATGCCTGTGCCGCATGAGCTAGCGTAGGTCCCATGCTCGCGGTGCGCGTACTGAATGACGGCGAGGCGCTACCTGGCTCGGTGTACGCTCGCTGAGTGAAGTCTATCGCCCGCTGGAGTCTCACACACACAGCCGGGAGAAGTTAGGCTACTGGCGTGCATGTTAACAGCTAATAAACAATATTAATTGGAGTTTAATTACTGAATGGGTTCATATCCGAAATGATAGTTTGGTGGGTTTGACCAGATGTGCTTGACATGCAACTAACATGGGATATTGATAAATGTCAACTTCACGTGTTTTGAGCCGAAGCCTTTGTGGTGGTGTGAATGTGGGGAAATTGAAAACTGTCTAAGTGGAAATCGCGGAAGTTCGTCAACGGTCACTCGTACTTTCGTTTCGGAAATTGTCCGGAGGTAATTGGGGTTTTAACAAATGCAAGATCTTGAAATCTCAGTAAAATAGACGGTGTTACGAGATACCCAGTTCTCGTGTATCTATTTCAACAGCTGACACATCTGTCCCTTGTCCCGTGGCGGGGTGGGTTAGGCTGGTTACAAGATCGTGATGCGTGCGTTTGTACAAAGATACTGGGCCAGATTCAAGAGGAAATTCTTGAGATTAATCAAATGTTTAAAGACAGATAAATAATCGCTACATCGGTGAAATTCTGTCAGTTTCAATTTCTTATCTATTCTACAAGTATAGTTCCCCGCACATTGTGCATGTTATAGAAAGCATGTTTATCTTCCATTAAAACACAACTGGGTCGTATGTCGCTTTATGATATTTACTAAATTCATGTCACAGTCAAAATTTAATACTGTTAATATACTTGCTTGCGCTGTAAATGAAATTTTTGAAGGCACCGGTAGTTTGTATATACATCGAATTGTTATATCCTTATATTTGATACATATGAATGTTTTTTTCTATTTTTAGCATGTCGATACACGTCCACATGATGAATTTTATTTTCACTGTCTCATAAGTCTATTAAGGCTGGGCGATAGGACACGTTCTGTGGAAATGTTTTATAATCATCATCATCATCATCATCATCATTGACCAGTGACGATCCGGTGATAGAATAGGTCTTCAGCAACCCGTGCTTGCCGTAAAAGGCAGCTATGCTTGTCGTAAGAGGCGACTAACGGGATCGGGTGGTCAGGCTCCCTGACTTGGTTGATGCATGTCATCGATCCCAATTGTGTGGGTCGATCCTCATGATGTCAATCACTGGACTGTCTGGTCCAGACTCGATTCTTTACAGACCGCCGTCATATAGCGGGAATATTGATGAGTGCGGCGTAAAACAACAAACTAACAAACAAACAAAAATCATCATCATTATTAGTATTATATTTTATTTATTTTTCTTATTTTATTAAGTTTTCCCGCTCAGTGCAATTCGTTAACCCCTCGACCAGACTCGTTTGTTAATTTTACCCCCATAGAAACCAAAATACGACCCGTGTGTAAATTATCCGAGTGAGTTATGCTTTCACCGAGTAGTTCATATCAGGTATTTGATAGTGTTTGTAAACACACACCTCCCACGTTTATATATAGCGGTAGGTAAGATGCCTTTCCACATTGTGCGTCTTATTATGGAGGAGAGCTGTTATTACTGACGGAGCGTTTGGGCACGCCTCATTGTGTCGAGGCGTCAAACGACGCCGTCAGCAGCCATTACGCTTATTTGAAACTCCCGTGGGAGAACATTCCTTGCTCGGAGCTTAATGGTTTTAATTATATCATGCAAACTGTATGTACACCAAACGCAAATGATTTTGTTATTAGGATATTAAGTTATTAAACGGGGAAGTTGACTGGGACGTCTCCGTGCACGTATGCAGTGCGTGATGCGAGGTGTCTGACTGGGCTTACCGAGTTGGGAGAAGGTGCAGGTCATTGCTTTTGACCCTACGTTTACAGATCTCAAGGACGTCTGTGATCATTGAAGGTTCGATTTGATCATGTGAACATGATCACAGCCAGATCTTGGTATTTTTCCCATTTTAATATTTTATCAATTAAATAAAATTGTTTTGAAATTGTTACTTAAGTCATGTCATATTATTATCGACATATTGACATCATAGCATAATCTTACGTTTGTTTGTTTGTTTGTTTGTCTGTTTGTTAAAGAATTTCAACGTTAAGTATTCCTTTTCTTCGATGGAAGGAATTCTGATTTTTTACAATCAAACCAGATCCTATCATTTCCCACCCGGGTGTGAAAATTTAATCCAAGGTGTTGTAAATTAAATTCTTCTATTGAACAATGCATTTAAGTACGTGTATATAAGCTTGTTGATTGCACAATTACTCCTGTGCTAATTAAACAACCCGGTTGATGACTTGTTGACACTAATCTATCAGCTGATCACCGCGAGTGACGTAATGCCAGCTATTGAGGAATCACTAACAGGTTGCGTTTCGGCGCTTTGATCTGAAGTGTGTTTTGTGTCGGGACTGAAATGTGTGTTTAACAATTTGCGAGGCGGAAAATTCCGCACCGTTGAAGTCAGTGATACGCCAGCGAGCTTTCTTTTCTTTGTCAATACCGTTGATGTTTGTAAGATGTTGACTCAGCAATTCCGTTGCATTGAGTTTGTATTTGATAGCAACGATTCCGAAATGTAAATAAACCTCGTGGTTGTCATGGTTACGTATTATTGTTATTGTTTAGGTGTGTGAGGACCTGGGTTCATAGTACCATATGTCTTATGAAATTTGTGATTGCAGGATGTTTGTGGAACAGTTCCCCGAGGGGTGGTTTTGTTGATTCCCTTGGAACAAGCTGACGCCTGCAGCGGTATCTCAAGAAGGGACCCTTCCCAAGCATGGTCCCTTGCGTTAAGCCATCATCGCCCCCCACCCCACCCCTCCCAGAAATAGGGACAAGGTATCTAACTCACAGCTACCCGCGTCCCATTCACTACTTCCATGATCATGCCACAACCACACCAACCCACCCTGGTGATTACTTAACCACCGCAATCACCCAATCTCCACCCCACCCCGAATACCCTACAATCACCCTGACACCTCACCCCGAATACCCTACAATCACCCTGACACCTCATCCCGAATACCCTACAATCACCCTGACGCACCAACCCCGAATACCCTCAAATAACCCTGACACCTAAACCCCGAATACCCTACAATCACCCTGACGCACCAACCCCGAATACCCTACAATCACTCTGACGCACCAACCCTGACGCACCAACCCCGAATACCCTACAATCACCCTGACACACCCACCCCGAATACCCTCAAATCACCCTGACACCTAAACCCCGAATACCCTACAATCACCCTGACGCACCAACCCCGAATACCCTACAATCACCCTGACGCACCAACCCCGAATACCCTCAAATCACCCTGACACCTAAACCCCGAATACCCTACAATCACCCTGACGCACCAACCCCGAATACCCTACAATCACCCTGACGCACCAACCCCGAATACCCTACAATTTACCCAGACACACCAACCCCGAATACCCTACAATCACCCTGACACACCAACCCTGACGCACCAACCCCGAATACCCAACAATCACCCTGAAACACCAACCCCGAATACCCTGTTATCACCCTGACACCTCAACCCCGAATACCCTACAATCACCCTGACACACCACCCCGAATACACTACAATCACCCTGACGCAACAACCCCGATTACACTACAATCACCCTGACACCTCAACCCCGAATACCCTACAATCACGCTGACGCACCAAACCCGAATACCCTACAATCACCCTGAAGCACCAACCCCGAATACCCTACAATCACCCTGACACCTCAACCCCGAATACCCTACAATCACCCTGACGCACCAACCCCGAATACCCTACAATCACTCTGACGCACCAACCCCGAATACCCTACAATCACCCTGACGCACCAACCCCGAATACCCTACAATCACCCTGACACCTCAACCCGAATACCCTACAATCACCCTTACACCTAAACCCCGAATACCCTACAATCACCCTGACGCACCAACCCCGAATACCCTAAAATCACCCTGACACCTCAACCCCGAATACCCTACAATCACCCTGACGCACCAACCCCGAATACCCTACAATCACCCTGACACCTCAACCCCGAATACCCTACAATCACCCTGACGCACCAACCCCGAATACCCTAAAATCACCCTGACACCTCAACCCCGAATACCCTACAATCACCCTGACGCACCAACCCCGAATACCCTACAATCACCATGACACCTAAATCCCGAATACCCTACAATCACCTTGACGCACCAACACCGAATACCCTACAATCACCCTGACACCCCACCCCGAATACCCCACAATCACCCTGACGCACCAACCCCGAATACCCTACAATCACCCTGAAACACCAACCCCGAATACCCTAAAATCACCCTGACGCACCAACCCCGAATACCCTACAATCACCCTGACGCACCAACCCCGAATACCCTACAATCACCCTGACACCCCAACCCCGAATACCCTACAATCACCCTGACACCTCAACCCCGAATACCCTACAATCACCCTGACACCTCAACCCCGAATACCCTACAATCACCCTGACGCACCAACCCCGAATACCCTACAATCACCCTGACTCACCAACCCCGAATACACTACAATCACCCTGACACCTCACCTCGAATACCCTACAATCATCCTGACACCTCACCTCGAATACACTACAATCACCCTGACGCACCAACCCCGAATACTTTTTGATCTTACTAATTTCGTATTCTCTGTTCCAATAACTTTCTATAAGTGCTGAGTGGTCGATATTGAACTTATTAATAGGTATCATTTCACACTCTGTCGTAGCTTTTTTATGGACCGCCTCCGTGGTCTAGTGGTAGAGCGTCCGCCCGGAGAGCGGAAGGTCCGGGGTTCGATCCCTGGCCGCGTCATAGATTAAAAGATGGTACTTGTTCTTACCCTGCTCGGCATTAAGGGGCTAAAACAAATACAATACAATACAAATACTGGTCGGCTCGGAGTCAGTATACTGTGTCTGAGTGGGGTATTCATGTTAAACTGCGGCATGGTGTCTCAGTGAGC